GGGAAAATAGAGAATGTATGAGACAGTGGCCCACGCCTGTAGGGGGAGGGGGAGTGCTTGGAATAGTGGCCAGCTGCTTTTGGGATATTTCCAGAGCTCCTCTAGGGTTTAGCTAGGTATTGAAAAGCCCTGGGGGTGGTTAGTGTTCTAGCCAAACAAATACAGGCCTTTTAGATTGGTTCTTGAAATTTTAGCAAAGAGTTTTGGTTAGGAGATGTTTTTATTTTGGATTCCTTTACACATTTGAGAATGGTCAGGTGAACATACTAGATCTTCTTAGAGTGACTCATCCTAATTGTAGCAGAGACATTATTCAATTTGCTTTCCCTGTCTAACTTTTCTTCTGTCTTGGCCTGCCATTCATTGCTGGAAAGGGGTAGCCTACCCTTTGGCTACAGCCGATTGGTTCCAAGTCCATCACTTGGATTTTCTTTCCTAGAAAGGACGGGGAGGTGGTGCTGAGACTGAACTGTGAGCTGGAGGTTCTGAAACTTGGCTCAGCCTTAGGATCACCTCCCCAACTTTCTTCAAGTTTATACCTGTGCCCTACATGCCAGAGCCTGAACATTGGGTATGAAAAGGATCCAGGCATGTATATGTTTAATTAGTTCTCTAGGTGGAGGTGGATCATCATCTAAGTTTGAGAAACAGTGGACTAGGGCACCAACTTGGTACACTGTCCTGTTCACTTCTGATTGCCCTCCCTGCCCTTCCCACCTCTGCCTGCCTTCCGCCCAAGTAAGCAGGATGGAGGGTGGAAGGGTTCTCCAAGGATCTGGACCTTGAGACTGACGTTTCCTCCTATTTGTCTTCTTTGACCCACTCTACCCTTTCTGAGCCTTGGTTTTCTTCAGCATAAGACTAGGTCATTGTGGTCCCTTCCAAAAGGAAGACCACGAACTCTTTTTGCATTTATATTAATGCAATAAATATTTATTAAATGCCTACTTGGTACTAGACATTTTGCTAAGTGTTATACAGCCTGGTGGTGAGTTGTTCTAACTAGGAAAACAGCCTGGAATAGTGTGAAATAAGCACAGGCTTTGTCGGAGTTAATTTTGGGTGTAAATCCAATCTCTGCTATTTGTTCTTTTCTTTTTTCTTTCTTCTTCCTTTCCCTCCTTTTTTCTTTCTTAAGCTCTCCACCCAGCATGGGGCTTGAACTCATGACCCTGAGATCAAGAGTTGCTTGCTCTCCCACTGAGCCAGCCAGGCACCCCCAATCTCTGCTACTTGTAGCTACAAGCCCTGCACATGCTATTTTTCTTCCCTGAGCCTCAGTCTTGCCCTCAAAAATGAAAATAACAATACCTATTTCACAGGGCTATTATGAAGTTAAATAATTATTAGGTAAAATTTAACCAAGGATGTGAAAAACCTGTACTCTGAAAACTGTGAGGCACTGATGATTCATGAAATTGAAGAGGACACAAATGGAAAGATATACCACACTCATGGATTGGAAGAATTAATATTGTTAAAATGTCCATACTGCTCAAAGCAATCTACAAATTCAGTATAATCCCTATCAAAATACCAATAGCACTTTTCACAGGACTAGAACAAATAATCCTAACATTTGTATGGAATCACAAAAGAGCCTGAATTAGCAAAAGCAGTCTCAAGAAAGAACAAAGCTGCAGGTATGGCAATCCCAGATTTCAAGGTCTGTTACAAAGCTGTAGTCAAACAGTACGGCGCTGGCGCAAAAACAGACCCATGGATCAGTGGAACAGAACAGAGAGCCCAGAAATAAACTCAGGCTTATATGGTCAATTCATCTACAACAAAGGAGGCAAGAATATGAAGTGGGGAAAAGACAGTCTTGTCTATAAATGATGTGGAGAAAAAATTATTAGGTTCCTACCTCTCCCAGTCTTTAGCTGTGCCGTGTTGACCAAAATGGAAATGACCTAAAGGCGTGGAGCACTGCTTAAGATTTCTTGAGTCCCCATGTTGCCTGAGAAGTTGCTACATCCTCATTCTTATATACTGAGTTGAAATGTGATTTAGTCTGCTTTTCCCTCTGACCCTCCCCGCTCTCATACTCTCTCTCTTATTCTCTCTGTATCTCAAATAAATAAATAAAATCTTAAAAAAAAAAGGAAAAGAAAAGAAATGTGATTTAGTATGTGTATGAGGCGGGAGAGTGTATTGCTGAGTAATCACCTGTGGCCACTCACTTGGACAAGGAAGTATATAAGTAAATAGCATTCAGGAAATGGCAGTTGTGTTGTTGTTTTTTTAAAAGACTTTATTTATTTATTTGAGAGAGAGAGAGCACTAACAGAGCAGCATAGGGAGAGGGAGAAGCAGATTCCCCACTGAGCAGGGAGCCTGATGCAGGGCTCGATCCCAGGACCCTGGGATCATGACCTGAGCCGAAGGCAGACACTTAACCAACTGAGCCACCCAGGTGCCACCAGGAAATGGCAATTTTAAGCTCTTCTCTCCCCATAACTAGACTGGGGCCCTTCATCTTTTTGAGTCTCAGGTTCCACTTGTTGTAACTAATTGATGATGTTATGACATGTAGACATTTTTAGAAATGAACCTTGGCTATTTTAAATTAAAACAATAATTAAATGCTTCAGTCATATGAGAAATTCTATTAAAAATCTCTTCAGCTTAAGGGTGCCTGGGTGGCTCAGTCAGTTAATCATCTACCTTCGGCTCAGGTCATGATCTCATGGTCCTGGGGTCAAGCCCCAATCCACTGATAGATCAATAAATAGGACTGCCTGCTCAGCGGGGGCCTGCTTCTCCAAACTCTCCCTCTGCCCCTCCCACTCATGCATGCTCTCTCTTTCTCCCTCTCTCTGTCTCAAATAAATAAATAAATAAATATTTAAAAAAAAATCTCTTTAGCTTAATAAGACTTTGTGGTCCTGTCTTCTTTGATGTGCCTTGGTTCTCTACAAAGTCATGGTCAACCTGTGTGTTCAGTTTTGAGCTCTTTTTTTCCTACTTTTCAGTGTTACTACATAGTGTTCCAAGTGTATTAACACAGAAGCTTTTGAATCCATAGTGTTCATAAGTTAGAGGACTAACCATTTTTTTAAATTCCTTGAAGCACTGAACTTGAACTGTTTGGGTGGCTTTTCTGGTTTTGAATCTGTGGATCTTGACTAACCTCTTAAAAATAATGACACAGAATGGAATCGAAAATACCAGAATGTTTCCATGGAATGTTTATTTCAGTTTGTGTTTATGTGTGGGCATGTTTGTTGACTGGATCATGTTTGTTTACTTAGTGTTGAATTGCTTTTGTTCCTCAAACCGAGACCGGAAGTGAATTATAACTCTGCATCCCCTCTGCTCAGGAGTGATGTATAAGAAACAAATCTTGGGGCGCCTGGGTGGCTTAGTCGTTAAGCGTCTCTCTTCGGCTCAGGTCATGATCCCAGGGTCCTGGGATCGAGCCCCGCATCGGGCTTCCTGCTCAGTGGGAAGCCTGCTTCTCCCTCTCCCACTCCCCCTGCTTGTGTTCCCTCTCTCGCTGTGTCCCTCTCTGTCAAATAAATAAAATCTTAAAAAGCAAACAAATCTTTATCAAAATGATAACTTAAAAGATCCACTTAAATAGAAATTGGGAGGAAAGTGACCTTTTACCTATAAAGGAGATACCATTGTTAGTTCTTGGGATCATGTGCTTGCCTACCCTTTTCCTTTGGTCCTCCATTTGCCAGCTTCTATCTGAGGAAAAGCTAAAACACGGACGGACATAGGCCACAGTTACAAGCCATTATTTTACAGACAGCTCTCTTAAATTCATTTTGTGACTCTTTTGTGTAAACTGAAGCACTTTTGCCTACTCTTGACTTTCAGAGTAGCGTTCGCTTCATCACTTCTCCCTGTTGCTCCCTCACGCCATCAGTGCTCATCTCAGTCAGCTGTAGCTTCCCCTTTAGTTGTTTCCTTAAAACAGTCATGCACACAAACATAATACCCACAGCTGCTTCTCACCAGTTCAGAGGCTTTCTTAGTGAATGACTCAGCATGATTCAGCAGCCCTAACGGTCTCTTTCGGGAACCCATTTTACCAAGTATTTTCAATAGTTAACCCATCTCATAGGCTAACAAGATTCATACTTCTGGTTTACTATTTTAGTTCAAATCAGTTATGATAAGTATCCAGACATATGTCAGGATAGGATAAAAAAATTATGGAATTCAGGTTTAGAATGAAAGAGATTCCCAGGCCTGGAAGAGATTTCTGTGATTCAGAAGTAAAAGATGATTTTAAATTTATTTTCATTCATTTGCAGAATGAAATTTGTTTAAGCAGTAGTTGATACTGAGAAAGTCACATTATTAAGATGAGGGGAGGAGAGACCACAGCCCAAGGATCACATAATGACAGTCGGAACCAAATGGACACCACGGTGTTTGCTTTCACTTGTTTGTTAAGAAGTATGTTACAGACTTCAGGCAGTATCTGAACTGTGTTCCCGAAGTTCCTTTACAGAAGTTTCTATTTACCCATAATATACCTCAGTTATTAAAAGCACATAGAACTAAGTTACCATGAGAGAATTCTTTTTTTTTAAGATTTTACTTTTAAGTAATCTCTACACCCAACATGGGGCTCAGACTCACAACCCCAAGATCAAGAGTCGCACACTCCACCGACTGAGCCAGCCAGGCGCCCCACCATGAGAGAATTCTTGATGTATCGCTGGTGTCAGGACGCCACTTGGGGGTTCCCAGTCATTGGTGGTATCTCCTGGTGCCTGGGTTGAGGCACAGGCAGGGTGGAAATCCAGGGGAAAGTTAGTGCTGGTTTCTCTGGTGACCAGAAGATTGGTAACCAATGGCTTGTCTTATTATTTCCACACTGCTTCATATCCTTATGTTGTATTCTTATCTCAGTGACATGGTGCATGCATTTGCCTGAGTTTCCTGCTTGGGGTTGGAGGGCAGGCTGTCAAAGTCTACTGTTTGAAAGTGTTTCATGGCAGTCTCCCTACATGATCTATGTGCCTTTTATTGCCTTTCAGAATTAAAGCCATAGAGAGTCCCAATAAAGAAGATGATACCCAGTGGCTGACCTACTGGGTAGTGTATGGTGTGTTCAGCATTGCCGAATTCTTCTCTGACCTTTTCCTGTCATGGGTCCCCTTCTACTACATGCTGAAGGTATGTTGGCTTTTCCTGAACTGCTCTGTTTCCTTCCATCTATGGATTTGCTTTGTGCCCTACCACTAAAATAAACTCCATCTCAGGACCTCTATAGAGGCATAGGAACAAAGGCTTGAATGTTGAACATCTGTGGCTCTTCCTCCCCTTAGAAACAGGAAGACTGAGTTTGGCACAGCTCACTTACTTTGGAAGTCACTTGTCTTGGAAACAGCCAAAGCAATTGTGCATTCAAGGTGTGCTTTTTTTTTTTTTAAGATTTTATTTATTCATTTGAGACACAGAGATACAGAGAAAGAGAGAGAGAGAGAGAGCATGAGCAGGGAGAGAGGCAGAGGGAGAGGGAGAAGCAGGCTCCCCGCTGAGCAGGGAGCCCGATGCGGGGCTCAATCCCAGGACCCTGGGATCATGACCTGAGCCGAAGGCAGACGCTTAACCATCTGAGCCACCCAGGCACCCCAACGTGTGCTTGATAATAAAAGATGGAAATTCAGTAACGTGGCATAGGCATTGCCGATAGTTTGCCAAGATCCTATCTTCAAGCAGAGTTGTCTGTGGTCGACGCAGAAGCACTGCACATTTTGGCAGGTCGTTGAGTATTCACACTGGTGTGCAGGAGTCATTATTTCTAGAAGAGAAAAGTACTCATTTCTTACATAGGTTTGGAGAAAGATGTGAAAGGGGCGCTCTGAGGAAGTCATTTTGAGAACGTTGGCAGGTGCCTTGGTCAGGGAGCTGCCCTGCCACACCTTGTGTTTGGTAGAGAACCAACCTTGGTAACCACCATGTGAGGAAAAGGATTAGGAAGTTGAAACTCATTCCTACTGGGACCCGTATCGATTCTGAATGACAAAGTTAACATCTTCTAAGAGGTAGGGTGTATGTAAGGTTTCATTGGAAACCTTAAATGCTCTCATCAAATCTTTTTCTTTGTGACTTTTACATTTTGTCCTGCTTCTATACCTCCAAGTTAGAAAACATTCTCCTGTACTTTTTTTCTAAAATGGAGGTTTGGGCATAGAAGTCCTGTCCTTGTTGAGGTGCTGAGGAAAATGAGTGGAACTCTGTAGCCAGGGTGGTTCCTCCCTGGCCACTCCTGCTCTGCCCCCTTGAGCTGTGCGGTACAGCTTATGAGCAGCTCCCTCTAATGCTTCTTGGGGAGCAAAGGGTGCTCCCTTGGCCTGCAGGACTGTTTAGTGGGAGAAGAGTGATGAACTGTAGTTCCTCTGCCATCTGGGGCTTCCTACCCACAGCTTACTGGGACCAGCATGCATTGGCGTGTGGTTTTCCTCCATCCCAGGGCCTAACAGAGCAGCTGATACTCCCAGCAGAAAACGAGCTTACAGGCCAAAATAACAAGATATTTGAAAAGTATAACCATTTCAAAAGAAAGACAACACAATCAATTACAAAATTCTGTCAGCAGTAGAAATATTAGAACTGACTAACCAGGACTTCTAAGATAGACTGCTAGCAGAAGAAGTATAGCAATATGAAATAGGAACCAGAAAGCGCAGGAAAGAGCCAAGGAAAAATATGAGATATGAAAAAGAGTTGAAATAAAGAACACATGGTATGGCATAAATAACAGAATGGAACAAACTTGAAAACTAGAAGGAAAGATTGAAAAAATATATATACATGTATTTCAAAGTAATCTACAGATTTAGTGCATTCCCTATCAAAATACCAATAGCATTTTACATAGAACTAGAATAAATAATCCTAAAATTTGTATGGAACCACAAAAGACCCCAAATAGCCAAGGCAGTTTTGAAAAAGAACAGAGCTGGAGGTATCACAATCCCAGATTCCAGAGCTCCTACAAAGGTGTAGTAATCAAAGCAATAGGGCACTGGCACAAAAATAGACATATAGATCAAAGGAACAGAATAGAGTCCCCAGAAATAAACCCATGCTTATATGATTAATTAACCTATGACAAAGGAGGCGAGAATATAAAATGGAGAAAAGATAGTCTCTTCCATATATGGTTCTGGGAAAACTGGACAGCCACATCAAAAGAATGAAACTGGACCACTTTCTTACACCATATACAAAAATAAACTCAAAATGGGTTAAAGACCTAAATGTGAGACCTGAAACCATAAAACTCCTAAAAGAAAATGGAGGTAGTAATTTCTTTGACATTGAACTTAGCCACATATTTCTAGATATGTCTCCTTAGGCAAGGGAAACAAAAGCAAAAAATAAACTATTAGGAGAGCGAAAGGCAGACTGCCCCCTAAGCAAGGAACCTGATGGGACTTGATCCCAAGACCCCGGAATCATGACGTGAGCCGAAGGCAGATGCTTAACCAACTGAGCCACCCAAGTGCCCTATAATTTCTTAATTTTGAATGATATGACCATAGAATGCCTTGTAAGATGGCTGAAGAATTTTCCTTTCAAGATACATTTTCTTTTAAGTCTGTGGTAAGATTTAAGATTTCAAAGATTGCTAGATTTTCTGTGTGTTTTTGTTATTCAAAGACATTTAGTATTTATAGAAATATTTTTATGATCTTACTTGGATATCACATATTTTAAACTACAAACAGTTTTGAAGTCCTTCATAAGATCCATCTAATGGTAGTGACATCATAGTGCAGTCTCTAAGGAAAGAAACTTGGCTTTTGCCTTGGGTCCACCTGCTTGCTGCAATGAACAGTATCCTGTCAGCAGAACCACTCACACCAGGAGCTGACCTCAGACTTCCAAAACATGAGCAAGCCTGACTCCAGCTGGTCACCTCTGCTAATGGAGGTCACACAAGGTAAAGAGAGGATCCCAAATAAGAGATGACCACTAAATCATTTATATTTGGTTTTGAACTACATTACAAAAATGGCTTTGCAGCAAAATTTTCTTCCCTCGTATTAAAACAAATGTGCATCCATTAGTAGTCATCCGTGAGAATGAGAGAATTTACTGTATGTTCCAAATAGGTAATATACTTGAGATGATTAAAAATTGATTATCCTGTCAATCAAAATGCTTTCTTCCTACAGTAGTGCATATTCTGAGTGGCTTCAGAGAACAGGCTGAGAATAAGCCTCTGAATTGCAGAGTGGGTAGGAAAATATCCCCCCCTTTTTTTAATTTAAAGATTTTATTTATTTATTTGCGAGAGAGCACACAAGCCAGAGGAGTGGGGCAGAGGGAGAGGGAGAAGCAGACTCCCCGCTGAGCAGGGAGCCCGACATGGGGCTCAATCCCAGGACCCAGAGATCATGACCTGAGCTGAAGGCAGACGCTTAACCAACTGAGCCACCCAGGCGCCCTGAAAGTATCCCCTTTTAAGGGCTAGCATAGATCATATTCCATTGCTGCAATCACATGGTGATGTATGGAGTGGGAAAAGAGATCTAAGTAAGGACACTTTTAATATTTGTCTTTTGCAGAATTAATATTGTTGATATTTTTTCTAAAGCAGCCGAAGATTGGGGGTGCCTGGGTGGCTCAGCTGGTTTAGCATCTGACTTCAGCTCAGATCATGATCTCAGGGTTCTGAGATCGATCCTCCCATTGGGCTCCAAGCTCATCAGGGTCTGCTTGTCCCTCTGCCCCTCCCCCCGCTCGTGCTCTCTCGCTCTCTCGGATAAATAAAATAAAATAAAAATCTTTAAAACAGCCCAAGATTGGAGGAAAATAAGAGGAACCAATGATTAGGCATCAAAGATTAGTTGGCAAGATAATATACAATCTATTGAGCTAGAAATAGTGGATTGTGAGCTTTGCTCTGAGGTCGGTCTTTAAGCAGGAGGTTTTTAAAAATAAATGTAAAAGCCCTTTTTCCCCCCTCTGATAATGAAGGTAGTCTATGTTCACTTCTTTATTCAGAAGACATTTATTTAGAACTTCTATGTGCCAGAATCTGTTCTAGGTCAGAAGGATATTTTGGTGAATAAAATAAGTCCCTGCTGTCTTACTGTTTACATTCATTTGTGTGTGTATGTGTGCATGTGCGTGTGTGTGTATGCGTGCGTGTGCGTGTGCGTTGGGGCATGTTTCATATAGGGAGGAAAAGTCCTACCATCATTAACATCTTAGTCTTTCTGAGTTTTTTTAATGTGGGAACATATCAGTCCACATGCATAAAGACACACAGAACCATGTATATATTATTGTTTTAACCATGTATGTATGGTTGAGACCACATATTATACACAATTCTGTATCTCACTTTTTAAATTAACATAATACTAGGAGTATTTTCTCATGTTATTCAATATTCTGACAAATGGTCTAATCCATTATAGGTGGTAATGTACTAATTTCCCAATTGATGAACATTTAGGACATTTATTTTGCAGTTTTAACAAATGCTGCAACGAATAGCTTTGTGCCTCCTCTTTGCGCTCATTTAGATCATTTTCTAGATTTTTTAAATGAGGTTGAATAAACTCCAGCCAGTTTAAGTCCTAACCCAACTGTCCCAACCGTCACCTCTATTGCTTCACCCATGATGGACAGCAGAACATTTCTCTTAACTTTGTGAAAGGCAAAAAGAACAGGGAAATCTTCCCTTCCACTTGTTTTTTTTAACTTTTATTGATGCATGCTGAGCAGTCTGCTTTAACTTTAGCCTATCACTCTCTATTCCTGGGGTTACATTGTGAAAGCTTCCTATGACTTTTTTTTTCTGATCAGGTGATGGTAGCATATCAGCAGGTCAGTGTTGAAGTGTGGGGTTTTTTGTTTTTTGACATTAACTCAGTTCTGCCCAGGCTGGTCCCAAACTGTATATAAAACATATCCCTACCTTGGAAATACCTCTTCTAGGAGAAAACTGGACGGTGACAGCATTAGAACCACAGACAGAATTATCTGGCCTGCTGTAATCTGTAATTTAAGGAGTTAGTATGTTAGTGCTCATCGTGCCAAGAATCAGTTAAAATAGCACAGGCTCTTTGAACTGCAGGTAAGAGTGGGCTTGTGTTTGCTCGTGGGAGCATCGTCAGTTGGCACTTTGAGGGCAGCTTGATTAAAAGGATGGG